CACCAAAAATCAACATCTGTAAGTTGGGGGGGAAAGGAAGCACAAGCAACGCGTGCAGCAAAATCTATCTTCCTCGGAGTGCATCCTCCTCACCATACATATCCACATCGTCGAAGAACACGGCCGATTGGCGTCGCATCTCTTCGAAGATGTTGCTCCCCGAACTACCCCGTCGGGGCTCCGGGACCCGCAGCCGCAGCCGGGACGGAGCGTGCGAGGAGGATTCCTCCGCGGATGAGAGGTCCGAGTGCGACGTATCCACTAGGTATTGCGTCTCCTCTGTCTGTCGTTCGGGGAGGGTGTGGTCCAACCGCCGAGATAAGGGATCCATTGGGCTGCTGCTGCCACCGTTCTGCCGCCAGCGCGACGGCGCCGGCGAGACGCCTCGACCACCGGCCTGCGTGAACTGCTGTAGCCCCTTGACGACGGCGATCTCGATCTTCAGTCGGTTCTTGATGAATTGAATCTTGGGGAAGGCGCTCTGCTGGCCGACCCGCAGCATGCGCGCTAGACGCTCGGGGTCCGGGTCGGAGAGGATGTGCCAGAAATCCGAGGGGATGGTCTTGGGCCAGATGGTGACGGTGCCGCTGAACTTCTGGAGCCAGATCTCGCTCCAGTCCTGGCCCAGTGGTCGCGGGAGGAGCTCGAGATGCCGCAGGACGCGCAGCCATTTGTTCATGTCCAGCTTGATGTATTGTTCAATCGCGGAACCTAGGAATCCCCCACGCCAGCCTCGGCCTTTGCGGTGGGTGACCGGTCGGCCGACTGACCCTCGAGAGCTGAAGAAGAAGAGGTTGATGTGGGGATTGACCTGCGCAAAAGTCCAGTGCGTTAGTGCCTCTGTCTTTGGGTCGTGGGGAAAGCTTAGTCTCACCTGCGACACAATGGTAAAGTTGACGTTGAAATGCAGATTCAATGCTTTGATGGGGATGTCAGTCCGCAAGCTGCCATCTTTCCATTTGTGTCCAAATGAATAAGGCGCAAGTGTGCCGTCGCGTTTCTTGGTCATTAGTACCACCGGGTTCAGGATGCCGGGGACGGCCGCGGACGCCAGAACAGCGCTCCAGATAACACAGTCCGGCGAGGTGAGATAATTGGCCAAGATAGTTGGCGAGTGAGGGTCTGATGGAACGCACGAAACGTTCAGTATACGGCCCGTCCGTTCATAGGCCTCCCGGAAAGTCATCGAGCCCCTACAGAACCAGCTACACTGACGGGCCCACTCCAGAGTGTCAAACCGAGCTCCTGTCCTCCACCAGCGCATGAACCATCGCGGGAAACTCTCGTGACAGGCCTTGATCCGGTGCGCCAGCGCAGGTACCAGCAGCTGTTTCAGTTCCTCGTCGGTCCGGGTAGCAACCAAAGCAGCCACCAGCGCCCCTCCCGATGTTCCCGTGATGATCTCCGGCAGGATCTCGTTATCCAGAAGCGCTCGCACAATCCCAAAGTGGTAATAGGCGAAGGTAGCGCCGCCAGACAGACACAGCGCGGTCCGTCCAAAATTGGTGTCCAGATGCTTGAAATGGCGGATCTTCTCTTCGGTGCTGATCATCTTGGACTCCGACACCACCTGTATACACGCTTGCAGCTCGTCCATGTACGTCTGTACCAGGTTCTTCGTCCCCGAGTACGCCTCGCTGTAGAGGCGGGGATTCTCCACCCCGGCGAAGTTGTTTTTGACGCACGCTTCCAGCAGCGTGCACAGCTCCTCCGCCGCCGGCGTTTCCCCGGCTCCGCCACCCGCCTTGTCGTGCATCTCGCGCTCCGCCTCTCTCCTCGCCTTGCGCAACTGCTTCACTAGGTTACTGATGGTGAGATGGTCGTAGTATGCATATTCGTCGATCTCCTTCCACCGCTGATTGCCGAGGTAGTTGTCGAGCGCTTGGGCTGCCTTCAGCCAGTCGCGGTAGTTGGTCTGCGCATGGAGCTGCCTCCGGAGCCGTTGCCGCGTGCCCCGCCACGAGATCCAGTGCTCGTACAGAACGATGTAGATGCGCGTGAAGGCGTACGCGATGGCCAGGGCGGTGATCCAGCCAAAGACAATCAGCAGGAATGGCCACTTTAGAAATGTGTAGAGCACTCCTTCCCTCGTTTCATCCTTGGTGCGTCGCGGCGGCCCTTTGCGACGGCTGCTGCGGCCCTTCTTGACTCGTTGGTAGATCGGACGCCAGTCGTTGAGGGCCACCAATGGTGAGGCCCCCTGGTCGGTCAGGGCGTTCTCGAACTGTCGCAGGTCATCGGAATTGATGAAGTCGTGGTCGTAATCGGGGATGGCGCTGGGATCATAGATCTCGGTCGCTGCAGACTTTTCTGCTCCATTCATGGTTGACGATAATGCATGTTGAGGAGAAATGATGGAGGGTTGAGCGGAGGAGGTGGCATTGGTTGATTTCCCGGGCGAGAGGGGGTGGGTAATCAGGGACTCGGGAGTGACGCACTACTAGGGAGCCGACGTCAGTGACCTCCGATCCATGCCAGCACCGCCCCTTTTCCGGAATTAATGCGCCACAGGCCTCCTAGCCTAGGAGGAATGTGGCTTGAGTACACTACGCACTACGTACCTACTGTACTCCGTACTACTACTCACTCTCCCCCGCCCGAATCGGCACCGAACCATGGGTCCCGAGTCTAGCCCGTTGCATAAAGTGGAATGGAAGGTCAACAACAGCGATAAGGCTTTATGGTCGGTTATCAACTATGCACATGCTCTAAGATGTAGCTAATGGTACTGAAATAAAGGTCCAAGGTGCCACAGCTTCCTCCGTACAGAACACGAATCCCTAACTCCTCCTCCTCCTCCTCCTCCTCCTGTACTATCTGACCATGATGCTGCAATATGCACTTGAGTGCCCTCGCAAGTTGAATCCTTGGCGAAGCTGAAACTAATAGGGGCTGCAGCTAGGGTGACAAACAAACATCTGGTCTATCACTTTGCTTTTGCAGCGTCACTAATCCATTTCCCTCCACCGAGTTGTGCATCTATGCCCTCTCTTCCTTGATGCTGTCGCATCGCTTGTCCCTCCATGAAGGCTTGAAGGTTATCAAAAAAACTCAACTTGCACATCCCTTCCTCGTCATTTGTAATCCGATGGGTCTGTGTCACCGATAGATCGACGGTGCAGACGAGGGAAGCTTGTAAATCACTGCCTGGATGGCCCATGATCATCCGACCGGGGGTGCTCACCCAAGACTTACATAACCATGGGAATTGTGAAATCCGGGGAGCAGTGAAAGGAATGTGTTTCCCGTACGGCCCCCTTCCCCCCTCCCTCTCCCCCGTATTGCGCACGCACATGTCTGAGAAACACGCGGAAGGTTGTAGGCATGACTCGGGTGATTGCACCCTATACATGTCCCAACGGCTTCTTACAGGTCAATACCTTGAGATGGTTGCCCCTGATCAGATGTAAGTCGATCCCATCCTCCTCCATGTAGCAGGTACGGTACAGTACTCTATGAAGAGGTGTGGCACACGCATCGGCTGAGCTGAGTTGACTTCGGCTGAGCTGAGAAGAGAGAAAGGGTTCGTGGGTCTCAGCTGCACAGCGATCGACCCGTGCTTTATTCACAGGTTGACTGGCTGTACACTCAGCTCAGCCTAGCGGTACTGCCACCCCTCTCCCCCCCCCCCCGGATATGGTCCCGTCAATCCCTTCCAATAGCCGCCCAGATCTCAATGTTGCCATCGGTCGGCATTTCAATATCAGTGCGACAGGGAAAGGTGCAGCAGGGTCTGAGCTGAACCGCATGGCGTTACTGTATGTCTGTATGATATCGATCACAATATCCCGGCACGGTCAAGAAATGCGGGGTAACAGATTACGGGAAATTCCTGCCCCAAAATAGCAAATGATTCGGAATGCGATCGATGGCTCCTCGGAGGTGTCTACCGGTCAGGAAGGTCAGCAAATGCAAACTAGTGATATGGCGATAGTTCGCACCTGTCCCTCTGGCACCGGTCATTGGTGCGCGATATCAGTGGCAGGATGATGACCGAACAACGAATGAGATCCCTGATCAATGGGTGCTGCACTGCAGGCTAAAACTCCCTTCCTGGGCTGTACAGGTTCAGCCACGGTATGAAAAGGCTATTATTGATCATTGCTTTGGGGGGGGGGGGGCTATCGGGTGCTACCTTCGCGTGCTGGCAAGAACGAATGATACCAATCTGCCTGCAGTCGCATCATACCATCACCGGTTGTTTCAAGCAACTTGCTTTTTCAACCTTCTGGTTGCTTCTCTTCGCTCCGTTTCCCTCGTCCCTGTGCAGCTGAAGCTACTTGAGTAGCTTGCAGGAGGTTTCCCTCAAACAAGTTTTCCGCCCTCCTTAAACCAGGGAAGAGTCGCAGCGACGCTTGTGATGTATACTTCTCCCGCCAGCGCGATAGCCGCTTATCGAGCTCTCTTTGAGGTCTGATAACGGACGGAGTCAGCCAGTGCACGGAAGAGTACCGTACAGTATGTCAAAACCTTCACAGCGACATGATGACGACGGGAAGTATAGAAGTCAATGCCATTATTATGCCGTCCGTCTCTGCGCTGCTATGCTGCTTTCCCAAAGCGGCGGGATGCGTCAAGAGTGAGCCTTAATCCTCTCTATGAGTGAGTCTGTGAGTCAACTTGGTTCAGTGTTGCGCCCAGGTCCAGTCCACATTCTGCCTAGTCCATGCAGATCAAGCCTCGGAGATTCCCCTTCTTCCAGTTCCTCTTTCTCTTCGCAAGGTCCGCGAGTGTGTACTATACGTATGTGCTGCGTTAAAGTCTCTCGCTTTGCAACCTATGACCATTGACTTCTCCTTGGCATTGTCGCTCCGTGCAGTTTGTCAGTTGCTGATGGGGGGAAGGAGCAAAGAGGAAAAAAAAATCTACTAGCAAACGGGGTGCACGGTCAACTCTGATTGGCACCAGAATTGCGCCTCGTCGAGCGAATGCTGATCATTGATGGCGGGATGATTTGAGCGGTTGACTACAACCAAGTGGAGAACCCGCCATTCGAGTCGTCAGATCCTCCAAACTGGAAAGGGCCAAATGTTCTCCACCTTTCGGTCTCCCACAACCGGGTCCGGCTTTTTTTCTTCTCGGTTTTCTGCCTTCAAAGAACTAAGTACAGCCCTGAACCTGTAGATACGTACTTAGCAGGTATCCATATTCCATCTACCAGTCATCCCAGGACTCTGGTCGCCAGGGTTTTTAGCGCCTTTTGGTATTGTTCAAAGGAATGATGCGTTTTTTCTGTGGACAAACCCAGACATGAAGATGTCATAATGGTCATGTGCGCCCTGTCCTGATTCAACGGTGATTGGCACGATGGGACCAACATCGGGGCGGGCTCCGGGGCTCCCATTCCAATCCGCTATACAAGTATTTTGTATGTCTGTTTCGGACATGTTTCCAACATTCCCGAGTCCTCTATCGGGAGAGGGAGAGAGTGTATGTGAGTGGGCGGGAATTTCCCATTGCCAAACCATCGTCCATTGTCCATCGCCAAGAGGTCGAAAACCCTCTCCTCTCCGCAAATGTAGTGAGACAGGCTTAAAGCAGGGATTGTTGTAAACAAGGCATAGAGGGCTGGGCCGGACCTCCTCGCATAACATCAAAACAAAAAAATAAAACACCCTTTCTGCCAATTGTGTGTGCGTGCGTGTGTTTGTGTACAACTTGTGTTTCTCCCACGGTACTCCTAGCATGCTACACAACACATGGAACAGGGCCGGATCTTCTCTTACCGATTCCATTCGACTAAGAAACATCGCTTCTATTCTGGTTTCACCAGGCTACTCTCACGAACTTGGTCATGACGTTGGACCGAAGACAAAAACAAATAACGAAACATCCCGATGACTCCCAGGGATACCGATGGGCGAATGATTGTTGCCCTGTGTCTGCCTTCGTAACGGTGTAGACGTGCCCGTGTACTGTAGTTATCCATAGGACCAAATGGTAAGGGCGAGCAAATCACGAAGCGCACTCCTCCGGAAGGATACCGGCTCTAAACAAACGCCTTGGAGAGGCTTGAAGGCAAGGCATCAAAAGAGAATCCTCCAATGCGCCTGTTAGTCTCCCGAGGACGTGAAATTGGGGAAGAGATTCCAGATCGGCGGTGCCGTGCCCACTTCATCGTCATTATCATCGTGATGACTGGGCGACCGGCATTTGCGATATGGATACCGTACAGTCAGCCTCGATCCCCTTCCATGGCCGAGTACGCGTGGGATGAGTGAGGCAGGAAGAGAAGCCTTAGGAGAGAGAGACGGAGCGGTCACGGACCATCCAAGCAGTGCTCCCTCCCCCTCCATGGACGTCATTGAATATCTAAGATTCGACACTAGAACACCCCTCGTTGCGATCGAGCATATGGAGGATCGCCGAGAACGTGGGCCATGGAATGAGGGCAACTGACAATGCCAATAATGACGATGACACAACCATTGGATGGTGGGGGGAGGGGGACGGGCGTAGGAATTATGGACCAAATGATGTTATTATTGACACTGAGACCGAGAAAGTGGAAACACTGGAGCCAGAAGTAAGAAAAAAAAAAGAAGAAGAATGTGGTGTGATGTTTGGGGATAGCGTCAACAAGAAAGCGGTGTGACAGCGGGAAATGCGACTTGCGATCCATAACAACCGAGTCATTGTGCAATGAAAAGAGTTGCCGATGGGCTGCTGTTTTAAGGTTTGGTCATCGAGATAACCACACAGCAAAGCAAGCACATCATCGGATTGTCGAACAGGCCGTTGTGTGCACGGCGCACCTGTTGATCCTCCGTGCAATGGATGGAAAGTTACGGTTGTTGATGATTGACAGAGAATGTATTAGATTAGATTGTGAAATTCGGAAACCAAAGGGGGCATGACGGGTGACCCGATCATTTTTACGAAGTCCGTCCGAGGTGGGCTGCAGTCACTTGATGCTTCGAGATGAGAAACCCTCATGATGAGCCTAGGGTTCCACTTGAGCCTCCGAAGAATGTCAACCCGTCAGTGCGAGATAACAGAGTGGGATTTCGTGATTCTCCTGCTGACACACCCACCCACCCACCCATACAGAGGGCGGAAATGGAGGAGGGAGGGTGGAAATAAACATAACTTTAAGAGAGAATCTCGTACAACCATTAAGTTACCTTATGCTCCTCGGAATAAGCGAAGCCTCCTTCCGAGTTTCAGCTAAAGAACCGATGCATGAATGCATGAGGCGAGATGCAGTAATTAGCCCATATATGCGGCCGGCAAGAGATTTCCACACAATTGTTGCGAGGTGTTCAAATCAATCTTCCCACCCATACAGATGATCGAGAAGCCAATCCCAAGTAATCATAACCTCGATGCCGCTAACGTAGGTAGTGTGTATGGTCATTTCTGGTACATACCTACCTACGTACCTGAGGTAAGATCCTAGTTCCACTGTCAGTCACTAGAGCGCCTCAACTTCTCAAGCGTCCGTTCAATTAACTGCATTGGGAAAGCCATGATGTTATTTTGGCCCTCTCCCAGACTGCCAATCTCCATCCATATGCCGGGTCTTCTTACGAGTAACTACTTCCTTAGTGTCAGACTGCCTGTGATCATGGATCCTCTTGCAAGTGACCTAGCAGGGATTGATACTCTAGCGCTGGGTCGAGTAAAGCGTCATGCACGGTGGCTGGAGGGCAAAGGCTGATTCGCCCGCGAGCGTTATGCTCGGAAGTCCGCCAGGGCGCTATCAGCTGCACAGTTGGGGGCTCGCTACCAATCACGGGATGTTTGGACACCGACGGTCCAGTTGCTCGTCCCGCTGGTGCGCCAGTTGCATTTTCATTTCCATAATTATACTCAACTTAGAACTGGTATGGTTTTACATACCCCCGAACCTGCAGCATACTGGAGCCAACCCCCCCTTCTTCCTCTCCGCTCTCATTTTTGAATGGAAGAAGCGAAGTACTATATGTGGAAGGAGAAAAAAAAAAGGAATCGAACCATCTACACTGACTTACATTAGTCGCTTCACAAGAGACGGAGTAAAAGGATCAACATGGTGTGTGCGTCGGCGCTTCCATTGCCCTTCTTCATCGTTATTCGCTGCGAATCACGATCGTTACGCTTGCATATTAAGAGTCTTCTATGTACGGAGTACTGCACCAGCCAAGTTCAAGGTCAAGTTCAAGGGTCGGGCGATCGGGAAACCCGCTTCTCATGGACACCGTCGGGAAGATGCTCCACTTTTTTTTTCTTCCTTAACCCAGAAAGCCAGCCCCAGTTGCAAAGAATGGATAGCGATATGGTTAAAGAAGATAGTTTCTGGTTCCTACGACGTACGCCATAGTCTGTCCCTGGAGTATGGAATTGTGTTTGTCGATGCTGAAACCAACAATGCCTCAGCCATGAAGTCACTGAAGGAGAAACTTTCCTCATCCGATGGTGCGCCCAGAGGCACCAGTGGAAATCTCTCGCCAATCTGTGATATCTCTTTCATCACGTTCGGATCAACTTTTGAATATTCGGCCGTCCCTCCCCCGCTAGATAGAGTTTCCGGAGAAGGCTACCAGCCATTCGAGGTATGGAAATTCGAGTCCAAACATGTGTTCACCACCTACAATCCAGTAGCCTTGATTTCTATGGGCTGGATAGCTATCATGAACCATTGTGTATGAATGATATGAACTCTGTTCTCCTGGTAGAGAGAGAAAGAGAGAGAGAGAGAGAGAGAGAGAGAGAGAGGAGGAAAATGAGAAAGGGCGAAAAGCCACTCGAAGTCTGTAACCTGTAACAATCATCAAGATAATGAATTGCCCTCCCAAGACCAAAGTCGCCACTGGGTCATCGTTGTCTTTCAAGATGCGTGCCAGAAGGGTGGTCCAAAAGTCGGTTGAGGGAGAGAGTAGCGTTTCAAAGAGAAAGAAACAACCGATTCTTTTTCTCCTAATGGAGTAGTTTATCCTTGAAAGAAGACAAGCAAAGCAGCTAAACAGAGTAACCTAGTGATAACGGGTTAGTACCGAGTAAGTTAGGTGTTACTAGTGATCCGGTATCCACTGGAGTCATACCGTACAGTACGTACTACATGCATGTACTACGTACCTCGACCACGCCCGATGCAGCGGCTCCCTGACCAAAGGGAAGGCAGAAGATGATAACAGCCAAAGAATATTATACGATAATAATTTATATTAGTACGTACGTAGGTATCTCTCTCTCTAGCCCGCCCATCTAAAGTTGCCTCTGCCTCTCCCTCTTCCATCTCTCATCCTCCCTTTTGGTTTTCTTCTCTCTTGTCCCCTCCCCCTATTTCATTGAGACGATTGATCTTTCTTTGGGATCAAAAACCAGACAAGAGATACTCACCCTCCTGGTTTCTGGTTATCTTCTCGTGATTGATCCTCGCTTATCCTTCTTGTCTCATCCTCCCCCACCCTCTTGTCCTCCCTTGCCCGTCTCCAAATCCCTTTTCTGGAGGGGAGAAAAAGATACACCTTAGTATCTATCTGTCACGATAAAATAATTTACCTTTTCATTCACGGCTTACCACCTTTTCTTCCCCCTAAAAACCCCTCCTCCTCAGCTGATTGCTCCGGTGCACATCCATACTCCACTTTGGCCGCCCCCCCCCCCCCTCTCTCCCACCCCCATCCGTCACATACCACCCACTAGGCTAAATCAGTAGGTCCGTGGTGCTTGCATATTAGCTCCCCCCGGTCCTCTTTTTTCCTATCGCTATCCCCATCCCATCATCCATCCATCTTCTCCTTTTTTGGTGATACCTTCTACCTCATCTTGTTCCTGTCCCCTCCTCAGCTTTGTCCCGGTGACAAGCTTCTCTCAACTGACTTCAAGGATACCCCGTTTATTATTGCGTGTCCTTTCCTTCTCCAAACTTTTCCTCGATCTTCTTCCATCTTACATTGTTGTGGTGGGCGGCTTGTTGTGTTCACGTTTGTTGATTGTTTACCGTTGTACCTCATATATATCCCATCAAGGTACTTTCCAATATCCTTGTTCTGTGTTCTTTCATTAGGTCTTGCCAACTTTCAAGAGTTGCTGCTGACTTGCAGCGCTTCACAGCTTTTTTTTCCCGAGTGCCTTGGCTAGCAAGATGTCGACTCTTGCTGTCCATACTACGAGTACTTGAGCGTTCCTTTTCAGAGTCCGCCTAGCCAGATATTTCCTGTCTTGTTGGGCAAAAGTATTTCCCGTTATGGAGAAGCTGAACAGTGAAGATGGCCAGCTTTTCATCAAGGTTGGTGTTCCCCCTCTCCCACATGGTTGCCACGCCCCGATTTGGTTTGTTGTGCTGTGCACCTCAATGCCATTGTGCTCTAACATGTGCTTCCGCCGTTAGAACCTCGCAAGTTTCGTACGAACGCATGAGAAGGCATTGGCGAACGCTCTGCAGCTGAAACGCCAACCTGCCAAAAATGTGCAAACCACACACACTCAAGCCGGCTCGGCCGCGAGCTCGGCTTCATCCACCCTGGCAGCTGCGCTTTCGTTCGGTGCTTTAAAGTTCGCCTCGCAGAGCGTCAAGCCTGCTAAACTCACCCTCACCCCTCATCATCTCTTCTATCTCCTCTCCTGCTTCGAAGAACTTTCCATTGCTGTGGGACCCTTGAATGTTAGACTGGAAAACATCCATACAGACATCTCGCAGTCTTACGTCTCATTCTTGAATAAGCCCCAGCGATCCCGGGGGGATCGAGATTCGATCCACTCCGTATCCAGTGTCCGTAGTGTTATGTCTGGTATGAGCTCGCTTTGGTCCTCATTTGGCCTGGTATCCAAAGACCCCGTCTCCAGGTCAGAAAAGGCCAAGGCGGCTCTAGAGGCGGATACAAAGTACCTATACTCTGCCTTTACCAAGATTCCTTGCCTACGGCTAGCCCCTGATCGTCGTGCCCGTTTGATTCGCGGGTATGAAGAGTTCCCATTTGACACTGCAGTGCCCCTCCACTCCTTCAAAAACTTGAGCGCTTTAGAGATTATCGATATAGACTTCCGATCCTTTTTCGGCTGGGACAGACTGTCAGAGCAACTGCGGACATTGACGATCAAGCGGGCAAACATCGATGATCCTGCCGAGTTACTCACTGGGATCGTACTGGATGACATCGACAAACGACGCCGCCGATCAACCAGAAACCATAACAATGGGCCGATGATGGGCTGGAGCCAATCTGTGCACCCTCGACCTGTCAACAACAAATCTCACAGACCGGGGTCCCTTTCGGCGCCAGGATCACCGGTCGCCGATACGGCTTTCGGAACGAGTACAAGTCCTCAAGCAGCCTCGATGGTTCGGATGGCGTCGGAAGGTTCGAAAAGCCGCCATCGAACTGGAAGTATCTCTCCTTCGCGCCCAACGAGCTCCAAACACTCGTCCTACCGCCATAATCGGGGGACTGCCTCACGCATTCGACGCACCGGCTCCGGCAGCTCAAACTCCAGCGACACCTCGGGACACCGCAACGGAAGCTCCTCCAATCTACTGGCTGGGGTACTCCCCACTTCTAAATGGAGGTTCCTGCGTCATCTTGGGCTTCCCGATAATTCCTTGACTAGCATCTCTGCTGCCGGCCTTGCGCCTGTAGCTAACACACTTCATTCGCTCGACATTTCGGCCAACCTGTTTACTGAAGTCCCCGATAGTTTATCGACCCTTGTTGCTTTACGCGCTTTGAACCTTTCGCATTGCATGATAGAATCTCTCCACTCGCTGTCCCGCAATCCTCTTCCTGCCATCACCGCTCTCAACCTTCGTGCCAATCGTCTTCGCTCTCTCGCGGGCATTGAGAGATTGCTCTCCTTGGAGCGGTTGGATCTTCGCGATAACAACCTCTCCGATCCGACAGAGATCGCCAGGCTCACAAATCTCCCTGAGATACGGGAGATCTGGGTATCGGGTAATCCGTTTGTCAAGACGCATCCTAATTACCGCGTGATCATCTTCAATCTTTTCCGCCGTACTCCCGGGTACTCGGAAGACATCATCATTGATGGTTCCGGGCCCGGATACACGGAACGGAAACAGCTGGTGGAGCGAGCTGCGGAACCCGAGGCTGCACCTGTCATACGATCGGCTGCGGCTGATCTCTCAGCCGTGGTCAGCAAACCATCATCCAACACCATCAACCAGACAGCCCCGTTGCTTCACGAACAGGGGCGACCCACTGGTCGTGTGTTCCAGGGTGAAGTTGAGGTGGGGTCGACGCGTCGCAAAAAGGGAACTCGGCGGAGGATCATCGATCGACCGCAGGAGACACCCTCCACTGATGGTAATGATACTCCAGGTGCAGTGGTGCCTTCTACTCTTCCTGTCCACCATGTCCAATCACTTGAAGACCCGTTTATCTCGCCGTCTTTCGACCGTCAATGGAAATCTGATGGTGGACCCCAGGCCAGACCTCCCAACCCTGAGAGCTCCAGCAATGTCGACCATGAACAAACACAACCCATTGGTCAAACCGAAGAGCGTCCTACACCTCAGCGAGCACTACAGAGCATAGGCTGGAGTATGGATGAGGATTTTTACCGACGGGAACTGGATGCTCTCCGGCAGGAACTGGGCAACACGTGGCTTGCGCAACTCGGTGACCGGGGCTGGAAACACAGTCCAACTGATGTTACTGTGCCCCGCACAGGGACTGATTTTACCGAAGCGACCAGAATGCCGGCCGATTCCCTGACCAGGGTGAGCCCACCGGTCATACTAAGTGGAGGACATGCTCTGAGTTGAAATGAGTTGTGGTCTGCGCTTTAGGTTTGAGGTGCCTCACGACTAGCGACTTGGATGACCTAGGTCATAAACACAAAGGCCCAGTTGGAGACGACAGAACTGGAATCGACACAAAAAAAGCAGAAAACTCAAGAGCAAGGGAGATGAAAGAAAGAACGAGACGGGGAAGACGAGGGCGGGGCGCAGAACATCGATGACCTGACCGACGATACCAACCTCACTTGACTGAGACACGACATTCATCTCCGCGATACGGAAAAGTTACCTTGGCTTCGACAAAAGCGATTCTTCCATGACACTTAATTCGGGTTCTTGAATATACTCGACATGTTGAATGCCGAATTTTCCCATATGTGCGACTGGCAACTGCTTGCTGAACTGCATAATCCATGGCGTTTTGAGATTATTTCCAGCTTATAGGTCCACGGCGTGCCACGTCTTACCTGGTTCTTTACATCACTACCCATTTCGCCTCGCTCCTGCTCCTCTACCTTCCCCACAACTATACATTCTATGACGTGCATGAGACCTTTTTTTTTCGGCTGGTCCATTTCGATTGGAGGCGTGATGAAAGAACATTGCTTCCTACTTTAGACCGCTTTGTATTGTATTTGGTACTGGAGTCCAGGTGCGGCGTTACTAGCATTGTTTTGTTTCTGACCCGTCCAATGCTCTCTTGACGGCCGGTTTCTGTTTGGCTTGCGATTGCTTGGGTGCTCAAGCTGTATACTTTTATTCTCGTGCTTCAACTCGCAGTACTCATTTCTCCCTTTCTGATGAAGCGGTCTTTTTTTTTCTCGGATTTCTCACAAGACCCATGATGAATTCGGACCTAATGCATGAGACACGAAAATATTGTGACGAGTCAAAGAATATGCCAGCGATAGTGCCAATAGTTGAAATGCCATGCGATTTGGGTTGCTTTCGAACTCGGAATCTGTGCGTCATCGCCTCCATAGACATCCAATAATTGTCGTAGCCGCGGTCAATCCGAGAATGAATGGAACGAATGGAACGATTCTGGAAAGGGCGGAAATCCGCCCGGAAGCTTGTTGTAAACAATTACTGAGGAAGGGATGCATGACACCTGCTCTTCTGGAACCTCCTGTGCTGCTGTTGGGCAGACAGACAGACAGACAGACGGATGGTCGGGGGAGGGTGCTCGTGCGCCGACCGACGGCTCGACGATGACGGAGAGTAAGTTACTACCTACCCAGTAACTAGTTGACGCCTCCTACCGCATTGCCTCCATTACCTTTGATGCCAAGTGTGGGGGAAGTATACTCACTTCAGGCCGTCAACCTCCTTGCAGAATCTGTCGCGTGAGGTTGTCCGGGGGAGGAGGATTCATGTTTTGGGAGAGTGCCAATCACCCGTGTTGGGAATTGGTCTGGCCTGGTCGGGTTGGGATGGAATGAAAGGATCAACTCAAGAGGATGTTGCTGATGATGACTGAGAGGGAGAGAGAGGTATGCGCAATGGGGAGTGTGACATTAATCCGTGGTTATTTCGGAAGTGCAGCGATCGGAAATATGATGCGGTTGAGGAACTGCAGAACAATCAATGATTATTGTTGCAGATGGTAGGTGGTAGGTGGTAGGTAGTTGTGGTTGTTTAGGTTCTGTTATTGTTATTGTTGTTGTTGTTGTTGTTGTTGTTGTTGTTGTTGTTGTTGTTGTTGTTGTTGTCAAGATTGATTGTATACTCCGTTACATTCAAACTCGCCTCCTCCTCCTCCTCCTCCTCCTCCTCCTCTTTCTCGCCGCCTTGGGCTGCAGACCAATCAACGAGGCCGATCTGCACGGAAAACGAGGATTTTGCCATACCGATGGAAGTAACAGAGAAAGAATCCTTTTCCCTCTCTTTCTCCTGGCTCTCCCGCGCCGCTTTCCTCTCCACCTCTTCTTCTTTACTTCCTCACTCTCCACTGCCCACTCAATCACTGCCCGCTACGCTACCCACTGCCCACTGCCCACTGCCCACTGCCCACTGCCCACTTGCCCACCCACTCTCTCGCGCGCGCGCGTCTTGTGCTGCTGGAAAGTTGTTGCTTCGTTATCGCTCTAGTACTCCGTACTCCATCCACCTTTTGCTGCCTGGCTACTCCTTTCCTATACAGTTCGTTGGGTTCCATCTATATCTTCTTCGTCTGTATCCATTCGACTTCGTTTGGGCGAAGAACATCCAAAAATCGGTCATCATTTGTCTAGCTGGAGCACAGTTCCTAGAAAGATAGATCCCCTTGATTGCCGACCAACAATTGTTTTCTTCTTGCTTCTCTTCTTTTGAGTTACTGCGTGCGCGCACTCGACTTCCCCTCTTCTACCCTCCCCTCCATCATTTTCCTTCTTAATTATTTTTTTTCTCCTCTCACACTCCTCCCACCCTTCTCTCTCTCTCTCTCATCACCATCCAGTTAATATCAGAGAAAACAAAAGCTTTTCACCCTCCCTTTATTCGAATAGATTCTTCGCGATTGCCGTTAGCACCCGGTGTCTTTTAGAGCGCTAGATCTTTTGGGTGGAATCCTCAGTTTTCCTGCCTTTCTTACCCGCCGCCAAACTTGCTCTGGGTCTCTCTGGGTCTCTCTCTCTCTCTCTCTCTCTCTCTCTCTCTCTCTCTTTCTCTCCTCTTTCTTCCTCCCCCCCCCCCAAAAAAACCATCTCTCCCGCCGCCTGCTGCTATTTTTTGCAACGGCCCCGTCCAGAGCAGCCCTTTCGCTCTCGAGCCTTTGCTAGCCGCATCTCCTCGTTATCACCACTGCGCATCATCCTCCACCTTTTTCGACCACGGATTGCTTTCTTCTCTTGACGTCTTCTGGCATCTCCCCCGGCCAGACCTTCATCTGACTTTCCCCCTCTCCCCCTCAAGGCCATTTGGCCTCTTTTTGCTTCATCGCTCTCGTCTTAATAGATTCTGGCTGGTAAGCTCTCTATCTCGCCCCCTCCCCTTGACTCTTGATTCTTTCCTCTTCCCCCCTCCCCCCCCCCCCCTGGAGGCAAAGAAGACAATAGATTGGTGGACGGAAATCGGCGAAAAGGGTCGAGGAAAAATTCACCGGGCGCAATGATCTTTTCCCCCGCGCGTCTCGATCGCCTCTTTTCCCCAAAAATCTATCCACCACCACCAACCTCTATCTCATATCCGGGAACAATTTTCTGACTTCAAACCTCATCTGATATTCAGCTTAGTAGACGTCGTCTCATCCGTTGTCCTACTAGCGAGCGCACCGCAAAGCCTTCCGTCGCGTCTTTTCCTTTCCTTTCCTTCGCTTGACGCTTGTTCTTAATAATCTTTTTCCTTTCCCACCTTCCCTTCCTCTGTTCTTCTCCTTCCACCCCCCGCTCCCCGTCGTGTCTCATCAAAATCGCCCAGTCATGGCCGATCAGGAAGTGGATTTGGATTCGATCATCGATAGATTGCTGGAGGTGAGGGGTAGCCGGCCAGGAAAGCAAGTTCAGCTTTTGGAATCCGAGATCCGTTATCTGTGCACTAAGGCGAGAGAGATTTTCATCTCCCAGCCTATCCTGCTGGAATTGGAAGCACCAATCAAGGTAACGCCACCTCTTTCTTCGAATCTTCCAATACCGAGCCATCCGGTTTAGATTGAGTGTTATTAACCGGGCGGTTCTCATCAGATCTGCGGTGATATTCACGGCCAATACTACGACCTCCTGCGTCTGTTCGAATACGGTGGCTTCCCCCCTGAGGCTAATTACCTTTTCCTCGGAGACTACGTCGATCGTGGCAAGCAATCCTTGGAGACCATCTGCTTGCTCCTGGCCTACAAGATCAAGTACCCCGAGAACTTCTTCGTCCTGCGTGGCAACCACGAGTGTGCCTCTATCAACCGTATCTATGGTTTCTACGATGAATGCAAGCGGAGGTACAACATCAAGCTATGGAAGACTTTCACTGATTGCTTCAACTGCTTGCCCATTGCCGCCATCATTGATGAGAAGATTTTCACCATGCACGGAGGTTTGAGTCCCGATTTGAACTCCATGGAGCAGATTCGGCGCGTCATGCGTCCTACTGATGTAAGTCTATTTTTGTTTCGGTCGCCGGTTCTGGGAGTTCGTTCGTTATCCAAAGACCAAGAACTACTTTGTCCGCCTTCCTGCTCTCTTTCCACCTGCATCTTGGGATTACTTGGAAGCGAAGGATATTCTCGGGCCCCTTGAAGCTTCGAGGCTTCACCTGCTGACAGAGATAGATTCCCGACTGCGGTCTCCTGTGTGACCTTCTGTGGTCTGACCCCGACAAAGACATCACCGGCTGGAGCGAGAACGACCGTGGCGTTTCGTTCACGTTCGGCCCGGATGTTGTATCGCGATTCCTTCAGAAGCACGACATGGACTTGATATGTCGTGCGCATCAAGTCGTTGAGGATGGATATGAGTTTTTCTCCAAGAGGCAACTCGTCACATTGTTCAGTGCGCCCAACTACTGCGGCGAATTCGACAATGCTGGTGCAATGATGAGCGTCGACGAAAGTCTACTATGCTCCTTCCAGGTTGGTTTTGACAAGGAACTTCGGGTGTTCTCCGGCTAGCGCTAACATTTTTGCCCCCAATAGATCCTGAAACCAGCAGAGAAGAAACAAAAGTACGTTTACGGGGGCATGAGCTCAGGCAGGCCCATCACTCCTCCGCGAAAGCAAAAGAAGAAGTAAGGAATCATACGAGCTTTTCCATGTGCAGCAGGTTCGGGCGAAGATAAACTTCGTCAACAACAAAACTCCCACCATGTCACACTATAGCGAGAGACCCAAACCCCCAACGACATCGATGGCCATGAAACTAGACGATCGGCAGCAGCAGCAGCACACCTGAGCCGCCCGAGAACCTCACACGACCACGCGGAACGTCACACAACACACAACACAATCATCCACTTCCGGAATTCCAGAATCCAGCGACTTGCAAATGAATGTTTACCGCTGAATGTGTTTTCATTTTTCTTACATGGAAGTTAGTTTCTGCTCCCAAGTAGGGGTTGGTGTTATTTCTCATTTCCTTCTCCTTTCTCCTTGTTCGTCTTCATTGACCTCTTTTTTTTCCTTTCTTCTCTATCCATCTTATCTCATGTTGTTCGAATCCATTTGACAGAGGAAGGCGAAGCGACGGGCTTGCATCTGGTGTTGTTCTCCATTTGCGTTTTTCTTCTTTCCTGAAAATCTTCCTGTGAGTGTAATGCCAACCAAATAAGCAATGACACGCCCGTGTCTTTTGACGTTCCGGACGAGACCATCCATACTGTCCTGTGCTGCCCTTGCCTTTACAACCACCCGGCACGTGACCATATTTTTTCCAACAAGCAACGCAGCGCATCATCGCCCACCACTGCTTGCTGCTCGACAAAACTCGCTTTCGAAGTTAGTACGGCCACATAACACCCTCACCCTACATATCGCCACCCTCCCCCCCCCCCAAATTGAGATCACACCCTCAATGTATGGTACTATGGTAATACATTCCTTTTCCCACGCGGCAAAAACAGCCGATCGATCTCTCTTCGTCCGTACCACGGCTCACTGGTGACAACGTCATTTCCATCTCAGTTACTCGACATCTGAAACCAGAAGATTTCATATCAATAGAAGACGATAGACCAGGTTCTGCATCCGGCGGCGTCCAGTGGATGTTTAGGGTCGCAAAGAAGATTTCACAGACGTTAAGAGAAATCCAATCCACCTACTGCTTCATCGTTCCGGACGGCAATCGTTTCGTTCGTGCGTTCGTGAACAAAATCCCTGCCTCTGTAAGAGTCAATGCGGGGAGTAGATCAGTAAGGTGTTCTTGGTTTTGAGGGTATGGTTGGTGGGTGGCACCGCTGTGTCATCCCTCCCCCCCTCTTGGAAAGTAGCTGTTTAGGGGGAATGCGGCTTGGACTTGGGGGTTTTTGATCATGGTGTAGACGAGAGGATTTTGAAGGGGGCCGGGGGGGGAGTAGAGTGTGAAACGATGTGTGGAGGTTCAGTTGGCCTGTACTCGATCCCTGCTATCTGAGATACGGATAAGGGGCATGCTTTGTTCTTTCTACTTCGTTGATTTTGATCTCAATCAGGATGTTGATGTGTGGGATGCGGCCGATGGTAATAATGAATGGGTTCACAACCGCTAACTAGACGGAACGGAGTACTACTACTACTATTACACTGCGCGGCATGTTGGCTCATCATTATCGCCTATCTTGGTCGGCCTAATCAGGTACTTGGGTGAAGTTTGAATTGCGAGGATGAAGTGTTTAACAGCGCGAGAGAAAGGGTTGAAGCTGATGTGGCGGCACAAGTAGAACACACGCAAATTTAGTACTAGGGCCAATGGGATTTGCTTGAGATGGGTGGATAGGGATGCGGAATCAGCAGCAGCAGAAGCCACAGCACACCAGCACGTGGACCCGTAGGGCAAATTAGCTGTGATGATTCGCTCCCAAAATAGCGGTTTAGGAACTGGCTGACAAACTGAGCGACAGAGGGAGACTGATGGGGGGTTCTGCGTTGAGTTTGAGGTGAGGTTTAGGCTAACTCATAACTAGCATGGATGACATTCGAGGCAATCTTCAAAGAAGAGGGGCGATGTTCGGGAACAAGCTCCGGACTATCACCCAGTCCTGGGCAATAGAAGAAAGTGGTTCTGGGGGGGTATGTTTGACAGGTTGTAGATATTGGTATAGATTGAAAGCGGTAGAGTAGACAAGAGGGTTTAAGGGGGAAGAAGGGTGGATGGTGTATATCGGTACAGTTGGCAGGTAGGCTTAGGCGATTCCGGGAAATCAAGGATGGGTATACCACCGTTTAGACGTATTGAGACAGCCATCTGATACCTTCGCCGTAACCTGTAGCACGCGAAATCCACATGGTTAGCATCCGCAACCAGAAAAGAAGAGGGAAATGGTTCAGCCAAACGCACCCTGTCTCATGACAACACTGCACATGAACACCTCGATGGGCCGGATTCCCTCGAGAGGGACCTTGCCCTTACCCGTGGTCTGGTACAGACCCAGCTGGTGACGGAGCTCATCCTCGCTGACGGCATCCGGGTGATCGATCTTGTTGCCCAGGATCAAGAAGGGGACCTTGGCCAGATCCTCCATCGCAAGCAGGGCGTCCAACTCGGCCTTGGACTCGGGGAACCGCTCGTGGTCCTTGGCGTCGACCAGGAAGACGATACCGCTGACTTCAGGGAAGTAATCCTTCCAGAGACGGCGAGCTGTGGGCGTATACCGTTACGTCAGTTTCTTGTGCCTTCTTGCCCTCCCCCGTTGAATATCTCCCTCTTGAATTGAATTTACTCACCCTGCTGGTGACCACCCAGGTCGAAGGTCGTGAAGCGGTTGTTACCGATGGCAAGCTCCTCCGACGCTAAGCTTCAAGGTTAGTTTGCAGTCCGCATTACCACGAGCTCACGAAGCTCAACCAATATGAGCCCGTGCGGGAAGCAGCGGGGTGGCGAAAAACGTACTGGGGTGAGCGGTAGGCTGGAGAATGGCAACGCGGTCATTCTATCGCAAGAGCCGAAAGGTTAGCCTGTCATTCTAGACTCTCTTGCAAGGTTGGCCCCATCGTCTCATCTTCGAGCAAGAAGAGAGGGGGGGCTTTGTTTTGTGGATGCCCAATTCCTCCCCAAGAATGGTAGACTGATCCAACACATCCACCACCCTCGTTGGTACACTATCCCACACACAGACAGTGGTAACTCCATCATCACGTACCTTCAGCATGTGCAAGAGGGTGGTCTTTCCGGCATTGTCGAGACCGAGGAAGAGCAGCTTGGCGTGCTTGTTGAGCAGGCCAAGGGAGGCCAGAAGGTCGTAGACTAGATGGAAGGGAACGGCGATTGTCAGCATGTCAAGCACGAAAAGAATATAAACACATGGCAAGCGACTGAAACGGTGAGCTGATGCCAAACTTCTCTCGTTCTTTCATGCCCACTCTCGTGTTCGCGCTCTCCCAGGGCAAAGTAAGCACGTTCGCATCGGGGAATGGAATAACACCCGACTCAGGAAGGGAGCTACCTACACCAGTTAATGATCCACATGGTGGGCAAATGCTTGAAATCAGTGAAATCGCTGGAACTTCCAGAAGGAAAAGGCAAAGTAAGCAGCAGCAAAAGCAGCAGCAGCGGTGGTGTGGTACGAGCTGGGATACGAGACGGACGGGAGATAAGAGGGAAGGGAAGGAGACAGATTGCGGTCAGTTGACGTTGGACGGTCGCTTGCCTTGACGCCTTAGCCGAGCGCTAAGTTAATGCCAACCAACTTCTTCCAACTCAACTCTACCGCCGGGAGATCTGCCGGTCCCGACCTTCAAGTCTGTCTGCTGTAACTGCATCTACACTAAATGCTACGACGTGTTTCGCTGGCCAACTCATCTTGGGTATATGATGTAAATGTTTGGCATCTGACTTCATAAAAAAGCCGGATCGCTCCCCGTTGCCTTGGGGCTTGAATACAATACTAGTAACCTGACAAAGAGAAAACAAGCAGGGGTATAATCTCAAAGGAATCCGCCGCCATGCAAATCCAGGCTGGAATCGAGCAAAACACCGACCGCAATAAAAGAGAAAACAAAAATCGATAATCGTGACAAGATCAAGGACAGAAAGGAACCGCAAAAGTAGAAGAGCCAGACACACACACGAAAAATGCGACCGCCCAGCACATATGCAGATAAGGGAACATTTCGAACCAATAGAATACCGTGGGACACGTTGACAGAGTAAATAAGGACAGCGAAGGCAAGCTTAAGTGCAAAAGCGAATGACGCTTGGTTCAATTCTGTACACCCCAGTCGATCCACACGGGAAATCGTAAGCTCGAGCGGGCGACTGAAAGGGGAAAATAATAATCAAAGTATGTACAAGAAGGACTCGGATCCCCTCATTCGAAGGCAAGATATCGGTCTAAACGGATAGGACGAGCTGGGCGCTTTCTCCGACGCCATAAGCTCTGCACCTCTCAGCAACTTCGAGGCCAAGCTCCTTCATCCGTTCAGCACCTTTGCCGGGGATCGGTCGCCGTTCCATCTGCTCCTTGGCAGCTTTGCGGCAATGGGTGCGCCAAAACTTCTCCTTCCGTTTCTGACGCTTCTTCTCCAGACCCTCAACAATATCGATGGGGCCTCTCATGTGCACTTCACGGGTGCGTGATAGATCGCGCTCTGGCGACTCCTGCACTGGAACAATGCCAGACCACCGGTGAGACTTGTCCAGGCTGGTGAAGAATGGGTTAGGGGTACGAGGGAGGGACTTGGTGCGGGACATGGAAGGACGCTGCACCAGCTCGCTGATGTTGAGTCCCTGTGCAGGCACCTCATCGACCGTCTCCAGATCCCGAGTTGAAGACCGCTGCTTCATGGGTGGGGGCGACCGTAGACGGCGGGGAGATGCACGACCATGACGACGCGGAGGTGGGGAGACCATGCGCTTGGGAGGAGGGGGAGAGACCATGCGCTTGGGAGACTGGCGGGGAGAAGCTTTGCGGCTGCTGTCCCGACCAGTCCGTCCCCGAGGTCCGTCTTCTGGAACAGACTCGGCAACATCCTCTTCGTCCATGTCTTCGTTGTCCTCGGGATCTGAGGTAGGGAAACTGGGGTCGATGTCCTGGGGGATGATGATTTGCTTTGACAGACGACGTTGCTCAATGCAAGACTTGTAAGCAGCCTCCAGAGGACGATCCTCGTCAAATGTACCGCAGACGAAGTCCGTACTATCGGGAAGGTTAGGGGTGCCGGGACGCAGCTTAGGGATCTTCATCGGCACAAGACCAGCGGTCTTTCCGGAGAAGGCGGGGGACCATTTCTGTGGCTGGTGGCTATCGTTGGCGGACTCGAGCGAGGTGTTCGAGTTGCGACGGCTGAAAGTGAACCGAGTGAAGTCCGGGGCCTGAGGACTGGTGGCAGCCGTCGTACTAGTCGGAGCCCACCACTCATAGTCTGAACCATTGTCACTTTCGTCATCCGAGTCGGCAAAGCCAGCCTCGTTGTCTGACTCATTTCCATCGTCGTCAGAAGAGAAGTCGTGGACCGTGGAGTCATCCTCGGAATCGTCTGCGTCCTCCTCTGCCTCCTCATCAAGGGCCTCTTCCTCGGCTTCCTCCCCGAGCTTGCGGATGGCGAATTCCTTTTTCATGCAGTCATTCAGCGTAATCTTCTGCTCATACTCCCCAGACTTGGTCACCCATTCGTCGTCCTCATCCATGGAGCTAGCAAACTCGTGGAAGCGGGTGGCCTCAGACTCCTCGAACTTGCCCAAGCCCTTGGTAGGAACACCTCGACGCTCGGGTGCAGGCTTCTCAGGTGCGGCTTCTTTGGCGGGAGGGGTCTCTTTCTTCGGGGAAGCCTTGCGTGCGAGAGGCGCAGGTGACCCGCGGGGGCGGCACCGGAAGGCATTCGGGCGTTGGGGAGACCGTTCCCTCTTCGTCTCAGGGTCCCGTGCCGGGCAGACAAACGTGAGGACGGTCTTGCGCTTAGGTTCCGTGGGTGTGGGGCTGGAGTCGTTAATCTTGACTGTCGAACGCTGTGCGATAGGAGTCTCAGGCTTTGGTTCTTCGGCCTTGCGACCGCAGGCGAAGCTGATGCACCTCTTGCGCCCCAGATTCGCCTCCACCGCATGCTCACCACCCTCCACAGCTTCCGCCTTTCGCTTGTCGCCCATTGAAGAGGGCTTGCTGGTCAGGTGGGAAGGCAGTGGCGGGCTCGGAGTGTTGGACAAGGACGGGCTGGTAAGGCCACCATCGCTGGTCAGCTCTGAGGTGGAGATGCCGCTGATGTTCGTGTAGGTGTAGGAGCGGTAGAAACTGTGTTCGTGCGAGGACGAAGCGTGGTCGGTGGGACTGAGAGGGGGGCTGTTCTTCAGGGCCCGGGTGAGGAGTGATTCTTTGCGATCCGACATGGCGGTGGGGGACTTGACGTAGACGACACCCTCGTCCATGTTGTTCATTGAAGTATTCAGAAAACGGTGATCAGGAGGTTCATCCATATCCTCCACCATGTCGGTATCTTGAGGGGCCGACTTGTTGGACTGGTGAGGTGAGAGTAGCATCTTCAGTAGGTTGTGTATTGAGGCAAATGGCCGTTCACCACCACGCAACTGTGCCATTCCTTGAAGAATTAGGATATTAATAAGGTAAGACAGGAGGTAGGTCGGAAATGGCGTGAGAGGGAGATTAAGGTGGCTCGGAGGTGTGGGAGGTTGGGTTGGTCGTATAGGTGAGGTGACTCGGCGGGATAGTGGCGGTAAGTGGTAGGTAGGTAGTTAAGACGGAGGGCGAGTCAATGGGATATTGAGTCTCCAGGAGAAGGATAATAAAGGATAATTGCTTCAATTCAAGATCAAGAAGGAAGATGCTCTCTCGCTATCGATCAATAGAAGTACTGATCGACCCAGAGGGCGGTGCTTTAGGTTGTCCTTAGCAGGACGAGGATTGTCATGATATAGAACACATGGTGCGGTAGGTGGAGCGTAAAGAGTAAAAGGTTAAAGGAGGACAAGAGCGTTCAGGTATGCGGCCAAGAGATGGACTTACGCCTTCTTCAGAGATTGGCAGCTCAGAGAGCGCCAGAAGAAGAAGACGCGTCGAAAGAGTTTCGCAGGTGCAATGTGTTGGCAGTGTTAGGTGGGATTGAGATGAGGGAAGAAGGAATGTAGAGATGATCGGAAAATAAAAGTGATTAAGGGAGGGGGGGGGGAAGGTGGAAAAGGCAAAAAATAAAAATTAAAATAAAATATGATTAAAATGAAATTAAAATGGAGAATAAGAAAAATTAAATCGGGAAAGAAAATTCTTTTCAGGGTTGGGGGGGGGAGAGAGAGCTGAGCCTGGTGGAGGAGAGAAGAGAGGGAAGAGGGAGGGTGTTGGTATTGTATGTAATTAAACAGTGTCAGTACAGTACTTGGTGTTGGTAAAATAGGGAAGCGGTTAATATGGGGGAGTAGTAGTAACAACTATTGTGGGTGAATGACGATTTGCAGGGTAAAAAGCCCTTTCAGTTGGGGAGGAGAGGTGTGTGCGGTGCGGGAGAGCGGCGCCAGGTTTGGTTCTTTTCCCTTTCCATCGGGGTGGGAACAACACCGAGTCTACTGCACTGCACCTGCACCAGCAGCAACTGAACCGGGTTTAGCTGTCTCTCGTCGCCACACTTTCTCCCACAGCAGGGCAAACCGATCGAGGGCAGGTAGACTACTACAGATGAAAAGCAGGCAAGCGGGCAAGCCAGGCCACACTCACGCACACACGCCCACACGCCCACACACACACAAAGACCAGCATCAACCAATCCGCAGGGGGATAATGTTCTGATCTTCTCTGGGGCTTCTTTTGCTTCGTTGCGCAGAGGGCCTAAGAGACGCTCGGTCCAACCAACCCCGCCAAGCCTGGCTCCACTCTGGTGCTTTGCAGCCCTTTTGCTTCCTCAACCCAATGCAATGCTTTGGTTCCTGCGGCTACGTGACGCTGATGGGTTCATGACCAATACATATCGATACCACGATGAAGCAGCAGTGCGCAGTCTTTGTTCCGCTGAACTAGGTAATCCCGGAGTACTGGGTGGCCAAAATAAAGATCAAAAAACACGACAAGAAAGAAAAACTTTGCACTGGAAAAAGATCCTTTTTGCAATTGAGAGCCCAAAGATCCGGTTAAAGATTCTAAGTTAACACGAAAAAAACCATTGAAAGAGCTCTTATTGTTAAGTTCGTCCTTTGACCTGCCTCTTGGGGGGGGCGTCACCAGTTCTTGTTACCACCCGGTTTCATCCTATGAGACAAGACTAGTATCAGAGACAGCAGCCGACCCCCCCCCCTCCTCCCCCCACGATCACTATGAGGCATTTTGAAGGTTGGCTCACGACCAAGCCAGGCTATACTTGATCTTACTGACCCGGTCAGCCAGAAATTCCCTTGCTGGGTATAGCTGACTTATTCGTCCGCGACTCGCTAGGATCTTTTTCTCAACCCTCGATCCTGTACGAACCTGGTGATAATACTTTGTAGAACGCACCACACAGAAAAAGGAATAAAAAGAGGGACACAATTCAGAGACAGGCAAGGGATTGATTGGTTCTTTCTAGAACATGTACGACGGAGAGATAATTTATCTGATCGGAATGTCGTACGAATCTCGAATGCAAAGAAACAACAACATTCCAGACAGGG